AATACTCATATTTTTTTCTATAACTCATCCATTTCTTGATGGATCCTTCTCATCTTCGAACTCGACCGAGATATTGTTGAGACTAAACTGTGTAGAAAATTTCATCGCGATCTGACTCTCCTTTCAAAAGTTATCGTGTAAACGGCGGGACGGACACACTGACCGATTCTAGAGTGTACTCACTTTTTGAGTACACAAAAAGAACAAAAACTGACCTCTCATAGTTGGTTGAGGACGTACACCAGTTATCCATAATATATTTGTATGCATATGCCAAAGTGTATTAAATGAACGACGAGTAATCATTGACGATATACTCCCTGAATATAATCAAAAGAAATAGAAAATTTTTTCATTGTCATTCAAATTTACATTAAATAGATGATATTATTAAATTCGTTGTATTTGTCAATGGTTTTAATACATTTTTCCACATTTAAGTTTGACTTTTTTTTATTTATTTATAAATCATCACACAATAACTTGAATAAAATAGTATAAGAAAAATAACACAAAAAAAAAACAAAGAAAAAAGTTTTTTTTTCAAGAAACAATTAGATGCTGAGTTAAGTACCAAATAAACAATGGTTGTAGAAGAACAATTAATAGCAGTAAATAAATGCGACGTGTATTTCCATTTGTATTATATGGTTGTGATCCATCTACATCAGGTAATATTTGCAATCGAAGAGATTTAACCTATTCATAATATATACAATAAATTAATTACAAAAGAAAAAAAAATAGAAAAACTACATACAAGAAAATAAGATAACGATATGCTAATATAAAGAAGTGCACATCGATAAACAAATAATGAATGTGTCATTACATAGAATGTTAAAGCAATAATCATTCCAACATATTTATAACCACAATAAGCAATTAAATCAAGTATACGTAATTTGCATTGAGCATTAAATATATAAAATGTTAAACAAAGAATACAAATTTCAATTATATTCCAAACAAGAGCTGATGTCGCATGCATTCCTAATTGTTCCGGTGTAAATCTTTGAATAAGAGAAATTTTGTTTCATGTATAAAGTAGAAAAGAATTTACCTGTTTTGTATACCAAGAACAAGACCAGCAACAAGAACATATGTAATAGCACTCATTACTACAAAAAAAAGGACTTAATGATATTGTAATAGGAAACCGATTTTTATTTTATTTTACATGGTATATAATAATCTGGCGCATTTGTATCAGCTCGTGGTGGTACTGGTTCATCAGCACTATAACGAAGTGACCAACTCTATGAAGAAAAAAGCTTTTTGTTTTTTGATCAATAAATTTCGTTTAAATTTACTCGTGGTCGAAATGGAAATAAGAGAAGACAAAGTTTCTTAAAAACATAAGTTTGATCAACAGCAAAATAATATTTGATTGATGATAAAGATTTTTTCATCTAAATTATTTGAATAACAGAAAATTTTAAAAAATAATAAAAGATCTTGTTTTTCTTCTTTTGTTGTACTTGATTAGGTAACATATTAACAGTTTTGCCTGTTATATCTTTCATGCCTTGTTCAACAACATTAAAACCAACATTGAGTAATGGATTATTTGATAGCAAATTCATGCCTGATGTTGCTTGATTTGATAAACCATAGAATGCTGTTTGTGGTGAAAAAAATTCATTGTGTGATGGAGTTGGTTGAGGATTTGGCATAGTGTAATCACTTCCATAAGCATTTTGTGCTTGAGATTGAACTAGACAATCAAAGAAAAAAGATTAAAATCGTTAGAATAGTAAAGAAATACAAACCATAAGGTGTGCTAGGTTGGTACAATTGAGACGATTGTCGTTGCTGTTGAGAATGGGGATGGTTTTTTGAAGGATATACTGGACTGTCTATATGAAAATGAATTAACAAAAACAATGAACAGATTTTATAACTTACCAGAACTCATGGTTGTACAGTAGAATGTGTTTGAATGAAAGAAAGTGACTTCAAAAAGAGATGTGATTCATACAAGCCACATGTAAAATAAATCTATTGGTTAACAGAGTCGACAAAGAAGACAATGTGCTATGATGCCAAACATGAGTGACATCTGTCTTGCAATAACATTTTGGTTTTGACCAGAAAATGTCTATAACTGTTTAATCGCTCCTTTCATCGAATTTAGTCAGTTGTAGATAATCAACCGTGCTAATTCTGAATATCAATAGAAGACCGACAGCTACAATAAATGTCAGAAATACATATCTGAAAAACCAGCTCTTCCTAGAGGCGAAAATTTTTCGTCAAAAAACTTTTTTGATCCACGTAGATTGTAGAAAACGTCGATTTAACTAGAACATATTATTTTCTCCACTTTAAAACCATTAATGAAGCCATCAGAAGCATAATTTTTTCTTTTACCTTCTCCTTTTACAGAAAAAAAGAGAGACATTTTATTCTATCAATCAGTAAGGAAAAGAAATAATTATGTTTCTAGTAATTTCAATGATGGTTCCAAATGGAGAAAAATAATGTCTTCTAGTTAACTCGACGTTTTCTACAATCTGTATGGATCAACAACGTTTTTGACAAAAAATTTTCGCGGATAAGAAGAACTGGAATTTCTAAGTACTGATCTCGCGTAGATATTCGAAATCAGCATGGTCGGTTACCTCTAATTCACTAGATTTGGTGGAAAAAGCAATTAACTAGTTGAGGACCTTCCCTCGTAAGAGCAATATTTTCAAAGTATCTCAAGCAAAAGCAAAGTATCCAAAGTACTTACGATTTTGAAAAAGTAGTGTGTTTTCTACATGACTGCAAAAAAAAAACAAAGTACCGTACTGGTATTCTGTAAAGTAGAAAAAGCACTTGACTTACTTGTTGTAGCTTTATTGAGAAGTTGTTCATCTTACTTTTGTTTATATATTCTAATTCTAGATGAAACTACGAAGTATTTTATTTTAGATTGCTAATCTTGTTTCTTAAACATACTTTCTTTTCATTATTTATTTTCACATGTATTAATATGTACGAACAAGAGCAATAATAATTACTTTCATTTTATCTGTTTTTTTGTTTCTAAAATATATAGATATTATAGGTTAGTAAAACTTAGCTCAGAGAAGTACTTCTTAAAACTAATCACATCAATATGCATACATTTTTGTCATCATCTGTATGTTATTTTTCCATATTTTTTCGCTTAATAAGATGCGAATAATAATAGCTGTCTTTATTGATCAGTTCTTTGCTATGATACTTTGTTCTAAATAACAAAGTACCAACAGACACTTTGGTAGTCGAAACGAAGTATCTATTTGCATTGTATCTGAATTTCTATTGGAAATCCTGACTATCTTTATGAATAATTTTTATCTGATGAACCGTTTGTATTTAGATGAGCACTTACAGATTTCAAGAGGGCGAGGGCGATCTCCTTTTCTTTTGAAATGTTTTTTTAGAATTTGTTCAGTACACAAGAGCCAAAAATGATTCGACACTACCTCTGATAGACTTCAAAGCAAGTTTCTTGACTACCGTCATACCCTCCTTTTTTTTCGCTGAAGCGCCCCATTTATCAAAACCATACATCCGCTGTTTTATCATCTCCGTTTCTTATGTGTAATTTCACATTTACTTTTCGATACACAATACTGACATTAAGATAGGACGTAGCAGAATCGGGATGGTTTGAACACAGAGTTCTTTTTATTCGATATTAAGTGCTTGTCAGGAAATGAAAGCGGTTTAGAGTAGCCAAGCATGTTAAACCATGTCCAATCGATATTATTGTATCAATTAGTCAAATCAAATTGATTTAGACACCAATATTTTTGTGGAATATCAAGAATGAATTTCAATCTACATTGCGTTTTGTCCGACTGCTCTGAGCATTTCATCTTCTGCATCTTTACATAGTAGTTTATCTGAATGATACGGGTGTGTGAAGTTGATGACATGAAAGGATCAGCTGTTATGGCAAACAGAACATCTGTCAAAATAAGACTGCTTTGCTTTACCTTCCGCAAAAGCAAGAGAGACAGTCCAAGTCTATTTTAGATAAACCTTTGACCTTGGTAGACTGCGATATATGTGACGAATTGATGATCTTTATACTAATGCCTATGCCAATGTACAATGAGACAATCGAGAGTCAACATCGATTATTCGTAATGCTACATTAGGGATTAAATACGACAAATTTCCATATTGTGTATCACTAAATTAGTATTTTATAAAAATACACTTTTATGCTGTTTCGAATTACTGGTGACTATTGATGAAAAATCATTGTTGTATTTATTCATCATCAATATTGTTATATAACCATATGGAAAAAACATTTGTAACTTAAAAACATTAGCGCATATATCCGTACTAACATTTTTGAATGAAATAGATCATTGCCTTCTTTTTTCTATGCTCACAATCGTTAGAAAAAAAACGGATAGACTAATATCAATAGGTATACTAAAAATATTAACGTCATAATCAATTCCAAGAAGAAAATAGTTATAAAATCTTTATTTAAATATAGATAAATTCGTCCACAATATCTAAATATTGTTTGTTTAATCATTTGAAGTTATTTACATGAGAAATAAAAAATCAATTAGTAAAACATATTAATCATATATTACTTTTGTTCGTTGGTATCAAACGATGATAAGATCAAAGACAAATAGAAACAAAAAAACAAAAGAGATTTCCTATACAGAAAGGACAAACAAACAAAAAATAATAATAATAATAATAATAGTAATAGTAATAAATAGAATATCAGAACGAATTTTATTGTAAATGAGATCTGATTATTATCATTGCTCTTTCATGATCATTATTGAGCGAAAAGCACTCAACCATTGTTGTTTATCATATATATCACGTGCTTGTAATAAAATTGAACCATTTCGAGTATTATTGTTATCTGATTTTGATAATGATGAACAACGAAATACATTTCGGGCTAAATCGAAAGAAAAATAGTATATATAAATTTGTTTTTCGATCTAAGTAATAAACAATTTTTACCTGGTTTTGATCCAGCTAATGTTCGTGAAAAGCTTCCTGATGATAATTCAGGTATTTTAACACCATCTTCAATATCTTCAACATGTAAGGATTCAACTAGAATAGGATAATTTATTAATTGATAAGATTTTAAACCATTTCGAGTAGCAATACGTGTAAATAAAAGTATTTCATCAAATAAAAATACATATAATTTCTAATTTCAAAATAAAACAAAATCAAATTTATTTATAACATAAATTCAATAAATAATACCTGACCACGATTATTTTTTAATTCACCTTGACAAACTAAACGTGTCTGTTTTTCAATTAATGGATGTTTCTAGCAGTTAAAAATTCGATTTAAAAAAAATATCTAACAAGGGCAAATACCAGAGGTGTCCCAAGTTTAACTTTGATTCATTCATATTTCATTCGATAGATTATATTGAAGGAAGAAAAAATCTTAAAGGGTTCAGTCCTACTAGTGAAGAGTTATGACTGTTTTACTCGAATTTTTATTGCCAGTCACTTAGATATGGACAAGATGATTCCAGTCTCGGTAGGACCGGGACCAAAGGTTCGGATGCAAACTCGACGGGTCGATTCTGATCCCGGATATGATCTCATACCTGGCAATTGATGAGATCTTGATAATATTTTTTCAAACTGCTAATATACATAAAAATTTAGAATTAAAAAGTAATGTTGTTCTACTAGACGAATTCGTTTTTCATAGAAACTCATCTATAGATATGATGATGAACCATATGACGAAGTAACGCCTTGCTATGGGATTTGACACGATCTCTTTTTTTCGTTGCTGTTTATGGAAGGAACCGAAATAGTATACTTTTTTGTCTACAACAAAAATTTGAAAACAGTAACGTGACTGTGAAAGTATCTGCCGGATGTCAACTAGCTTCAGTTGCGAAAGATTGTACCTGTGTAGAACACTAGTCTAGAGCCAATCATACCCAAGAAAATCCAAATGAAGAGTTTTAGCCTAAAATTTCGTTCATATAATTCTGAAAGTTTCAATGACAATGAGCGTGCCTTTCTCAAGATATTCAATTTCCAAGTAGTTTTGACTGCTGCGTCCTCCGATGGTTAACCGTTGTTTTTTTTTCTCTTGGGAATTTAATATGTCAGGAAGCCCATATTCATTTTCCTTAAAACTCTCAAGATTATCTAATGCCTATTAAATCTATATATAGGCAAAGTTCCTGAACAAAACACTTTATTTGGATTTTTTGGACATGAGTCACTCTCCATAAAAATTACTGTGAGAACTAGCCATAAATCTTCGTCAGCACGTTTGAACTATTTGTAACTTTTTCTTACCTCAATATAATCTATGAAATGACGTATGAATAAATCAAAATGGAACTGGGAACATCTTGAGTACTTTCCTTCGTTAGTCAATCTTCATACTTGTTCATCATTTGTATAAACAAATTTTGCAATAACATTAGAGCAAATTTGAGCTGATGTTGCTTGACTAACATCATTTATCAATTGCTCAACAATATTTATCTAAAATAAGATTTTTTTTTTTCTTTGACTTATTAATTATCATTTTAATTTACTGTTTCAAGTAATATGCGTTTATCTTCATGTCCATCTTTCGTCTAAATAAAAATAAGAAAAAAAATTTTTACTGTATGTCTGAGAGCATTGATTAAGGACAAGAAAAATACTCAATTTAAGTACAGTTAATTTTTTCCTTTTTTCATTACTCAAGAATGTGAGACTTCGATCTTTTATTCATCTATCTGATCTTACTCGTTTATGAATACGTTTGAATAAAATTGGATATTTCATCAAACGACTTCGTGGTTGATCTATAATTTTCAAAATAGAGAATGAAAAAGAAAATTATAAATAGAAAAAAAAACAAATACAAACCAAGAAAATCCCATAGATCAAGTTTTCGACTAAAACCTGAATC